TGTGATCGTCTACTGTCTGTGATCATCTATTTTCTCTGATCATCTACTGTCTGTGTGATCATCTATGGTCGTGATTATCTACTGGCTGTGTGATCATCTACTGGCTATGATCATCTACTGTATGTGATCATCTACTGGCTGTGTGATCATCTACTGGCTATGATCATCTACTGTATGTGATCATCTACTGGCTGTGTGATCATCTTCTGGCTGTGATCATCTACTGGCTGTGATCATCTACTGTCTGTGATCGTCTACTGTCTGTGTGATCATCTACGGTCGTGATCATCTACTGGCTGTGTGATCATCTTCTGGCTATGATCATCTACTGGCTGTGTGATCATCTATTGGCTGTGTGATCATCTACTGGCTGTGTGATCATCTTCTGGCTGTGATCATCTACTGGCTGTGATCATCTACTGTCTGTGATCGTCTACTGTCTGTGTGATCATCTACGGTCGTGATCATCTACTGGCTGTGTGATCATCTTCTAGCTATGATCATCTACTGGCTGTGTGATCATCTACTGTCTGTGATCATCTACTGTCTGTGATCGTCTACTGTCTGTGTGATCATCTACGGTCGTGATCATCTACTGGCTGTGTGATCATCTTCTAGCTATGATCATCTACTGGCTGTGTGATCATCTACTGTCTGTGATCATCTACTGTCTGTGTGATCATTTACTGTTTGTGATCATCTACTGTCCGTGTGATTATCAACTGGCTGTGTGATCATTTACTGTCTTTGATCATCTACCCTCTGTGTGATCATCTACCGTCTGTGTGATCATTTGCTGTCTGGGTGATCATTTGCAGCAGTGCACAGATTCACTGTCAGTGAGTAGTTGCATGTCCAGCAGTGCACAGATTCACTGTCAGTGAGTAGTTGCAGGTGTTTAGTCATGCTGTACTGCATGTCCAGCAGTGCACAGATTCACTGTCAGTGAGTAGTTGCATGTCCAGCAGTGCACAGATTCACTGTCAGTGAGTAGTTGCAGGTGTTTAGTCATGCTGTATTGCATGTCCAGCAGTGCACAGATTCACTGTCAGTGAATAGGTGCAGGTGTTGCAGGTGCAGTTGCATGCTGTACTGCATGTCTTGCTGTAATGCCAGGAGATCTTGTGCGTTGTATAGCACTCTGTCAACTCAGAAATGTCACTCTCCTAGGTGTGTGTCTAGTTTGTGTTTGCACTCTTTATTATGAGCTCCCTGTAAAAACATTATTGATTTGGAAAACTTCCAATTATGTTACTAATTTGAAAGAAGCACACCTTTCACAAATGTGCCAGTTCAGCAATGCAAATACTGATCTTACTAAAGTTGATAAAAAATGTGTGGCGATTCAGACATTATCTACTGCAAGCGTTGCAATATCACGCAGAAATCTTGAGAGTGTATTGTAACATTAAGTATTATCAACATGGCTTGACATTTGGCGCTACCCTATCACATACTGTGACGCCATGTCTACCACGTCTACATGCTTAGACTTCCCATCTGTAGAACTTTATAATGTCATTATAGTGGTGTGTACTCTCAACAAAATGTATTAAAATTCACTTCATTTTCTCAAGGTTTGTCCATTTAAATGACACTTACAGGACATCTGCCTGCAGGATTTGATTGGGTCTCATTTCTGTTGAATTTATTCAAGTATTATGGTGAAAACTATAGTTTGGGTACATAGAGCAAACATGCATGAAGATTCAATCCGATCTTCATCCATCCCTGAATTCACACGTTCAACCTACTAAAAATATTAGTTGTTTGAAACCTCTTAATTGAACACACACTTGATTTATCTCCTAAATTAAGCTACAAGTTATAATGTAAAACCAGGAAAATGCCTGGTATCAAGTGCAGGACAGTCACGCCATTGATTTGTAGCACTATTAAGATGCTGCCTGGACAACTGAAGGATATCGCGTCATGAACTGCTGCCAAGAACTGTACGTAAGGTTTGTGTAGCGTTAAAGAGGGGAGGATCTTGCTGTGTGGCCCATTACACTATAGATGTACATGTTGTCATTTGTGGGTGAAACCAAGGCATTGTCACTGTGTAAGTAGGGGAATCACTGACTGCTAGATTGATGTACATGAAAAAGACTGAGTTGGCAGACAGTGGTATTTGTATGCATGACTTGAATCCAAGATGCTGGGCCCCCGCTGTCTGAATGTAGTCACCCCTTTAAGCTCTGTTTTTTTGTTGCTTTCTTTACTCACCTGATCACATGATATTTCGTCGATGTGGAATAAAATTAATAATCTTAAGATTTCAGATTTTACTATTTCTTCCTGTCAAGTTTGTACCTGTGACAGTGGATCGATGTGCAATGAGAAACAACCCTTTGATGTGTCATTTGAAGAAACAACCCAAGCTACATAGATATCATTTACTCTTTATATTGCAACCTTACTGACCATGCTTTCCAGAGATTTGTGTGAAGCCCATTTCTGGTGTCCCCCGCTGTGATATTGCTGGAATATTGCTAAAAGTGGCGTAAAACCATACTCACTCACTCACTCCAGAGACTTGTCTCGGATGCTCAGCTTTACAACATACATGTCCAGTGGTCTGGCAGTATTTGTTTGTTAGATTTAGTTAATATGATATAAGATATGAACTATTTGTCATCAGTGGCAGGAAGATAAGGACCCAGTATTAATGCATCTCATATAGTTGAACGCTGTGTGTCAGTTATTCTCATCTGTAGTTATTTGTCGGTATTGTTCAGTGTAATAGAAGTCTGGCAACTTTGTAACCTGAATGGCAATTTACCTGAATTTTAAGCATTTATTACTGTCATTTATTCACTCTGCACAGGTGAAGAATAACTGATGATTGAATCATTTCAATAACTCCAAGTTAAGGTTGCTGCAGCTCTGCATTTTCAGACATATTGGTTTATAGTCATGATTTTCAACGTAAAGGTCACTGTTTGTCAGCGAGTGTTTATTTTTTCTGCGTTGTAAACATGATCCAGAAGTTGGCCGACTTTGTTTGCAAGAATCCTGGGATGTCGGAAGAAAGTGGCCTTGCCAGTCCCCCTGTATAGCGTGTGGCAGTCATTATGTGCTCGGCTGGAGAGACACTCTGCGACACTGGTCTCAATAGCTGTCATTCAATGTTATATGATCTGATGAACAAAAACTGCCATTATTAATCAACAGGAATGTTATAATTTGCTTATGTATTAAACCCAAATGACATTCCTTTTCCACAGATATTGACATGCTGATCAACGTGTGCAAGGCAAGTTAGGAATTTCAAAGAAAAAGATTTTTTTATCTCAACATAGAGGATTCTTGTATATGAGGTTCAGTATTCAGATTGATGAAGGAGAGAATCCTCAATTTTTAAAATCATTTTCAATGCCTGTAAGGTGCATATGAGTGCATGAATTTGTGATCTTGCACCTAGCAGATTGCATTTCCTCAATAGAAAAAAAAATATGCCAAACACAACATTGGTAAGGTATGTTCCATACAATTCTCATGTTGATTGATAACATTTGGAACAGGCATCTGGGAATGTTGTTATATTTAGAGCGAATGTAGCACTTTGAGGGTCATGTGGCTGGCTTCAAGTCTTTGTTGACCACATCTTTTTTGGCTCTTGGTGCTGTATCTTGCAGATTGTTGAGTCAACATGATACAATTTGGAAGGACAAAAACAAACACTGAGAACTGTGTAGATATGTGACTTTCTCATACTCTTTGTGAACAGAGATAAAATTCAGATCAGCATGGCGACTGTCAGCCTGGACAGTACTGTGATTGATGACTTGAGATGTACCTTGGTAGGTGTGCACTAAGGCTGACAAAGACAATGGCTGACTGACGGATGGGTGGACAGACAGGTTATACCCGAGGCCCATTATCAAGTCACTGTTTCAGATTTCAGGCAATATGATGAGGTTGCAATATAGTGTGCTTTCTGAGCTGATGATGAACTTTGTACAGCTGGAACAATGTTCAGTGCAACATGGAGAAATGACTGAAAAATCGAAAAAACACTGATATTCATATCTTTTTTACACCAATCTTTGGTCACAGTAGACCCTTTAATTTGAGAGTTATTTTTCAGGAGTTGCTCTAGAATAGCTCAGATGATAACATTATTCTTCAAGATGGTAAGAATGAGATTGTTATGAAACTTGCACACCCTCATACCCCTGTCTTGTTAACAAATCCCTAACAAAATATCACAAGTCTTTGCTAAGACATAACTATTATCTTACTTTATGACAGTTCTAAAAGAGCTTGCTATGAAAGTATTGTTCCTGTATTTATAACCCATATGTATGAAGCTGTAACTTCACATGCTTCATCTCTTCAAGGGGTGGTGGGGTTGCCTAGTGGTTAAAGCATTTTCCCCACATGGGTACAAAGTGTGAAGCCCATTTCTGTTGTCCCCTGCCTTGATAATGCAGGATTATTGCTAAAAGGTATTAAACCAACTCACTCACTCATCACTTCGATAGTGACACCTTCAAATCTAATTTTCAATATGGAAGCCATGACAGCCTCATTGAAAATGCTATTTATAGCCCTAATTCAGTCATTTCCATTCAAAATGTAATGAAACTAGGTATAGGTGGCCTGTAACATTTATATTCTGTTTCTGTCTCTTAGAGTTTGACCTTGATGTGACCTTTGCATTTGACCATGCTCCAAAATTCGCTCTGAAAAAATGAAGTTGAAACTTCACATGCTTGTTCCCTCCAATAATGGCACCTGAATTCCAATCAGATGTTCAATACGACAGCCGCAGCAGATATCTTTATTAAAACAATTTTGGCCACTGCTAAGCCTTATCTACTCAAAATGAAATATGTAATGCTCTTAAATTTCTCAAAAAGCATTTAAACTGTTGCTGACATATCCGGGTGAGCTGCAGTGCGATGGCACTATTTTTTCCAAAAATCCAAAGAACTGTTAAAACAACAAACAACCTTGAAAGATACGAGCGACACACATTCCAAGAAAGACCTGTACATATCTGCCATTGACGATGCTTCCAACACATTGGGCAGCTTTGTTCTAGCTCTGTTAATCTGTAATTATTTGTATGTACAGCTATTTTAAACACAGACTTACACACCACTGAAACTGTTATTTTAACTGTCAATATTACATTTCCCCTCTGCTAAGCAGTTGCTTTCATCTGAAATATGTGATGTTGTTTTGAAGTAAACCACAGACATAATTGAATTAAATTGTTTGAAAATTCAGCTTAAACATGTTGTCTCAACTGATAAAAAGGCATTTTCAGAAAAAGTGAAATGTATTTACTTGAAGCTTATACATCTGCTTTTGTATTTGTTTCCATGAGAATTCCTGCAAACGTATTTATTTCATCATCAGGAAGCAGTTGTGTTAATCACCTTACAACAAGCTGACAGATTTCTCTGTTAGTGTCCTTGTCGTGATTATATTTGTCTTTTGTCGGAAGTAGATTTAAGTTTTCTTTGGTAAAGTACTTTTAATCTTGTCAATGAACGTATAATGAGAATGGACATTATATTCAACAGAATGTTTGATCATATATGTTGGGAATGAAACGATACATCAGTGAACTGGTACACCATGAGTTTTCATGCAACATTACGATACACTATGTTTCTTTCTGTATCATTGCAAGACAATACACTTTCTAAAATACATCACTTACTACTCGTTTAATGACCCCCCAGTGTTTTTGTAAGACAAATATCGGCAAAATGTGTGGTAATTAACATTTCAAGTTCACTACAAAAAATAGCCTCTACGAATATGTGTCCACAGCTAGATTTTCCTTTTGAACCTGCTCTGAAATATTTTAGAGTCAAGAAATTTCCACACGATTTGACGTAAATATGCACATCGTGATATGTTTTCCATCATGACCTATGTATCGTGATACATATCGTGTTATGACCTTGCTGTATCGTTTCACCCATAATATATGTATGAATAAGTGGTATGTTATACAATTTTACTCTTGAATTTCCAGCATGTGACCAAAACTGCCCTCTAGTTCCTCCATTTCCTCTTAGCTCCCTCACGGGTGTTGGGGATAGCCAAGCAGTTACAGCATTTGCTCATCATGCTGAAGACCTTGGTTTGATTCCCCACATGACTACAATGTGTGAAGCCTATATCTTTGTATATATCTTGAAATAGAAATGCCATGGAGACAAGTCCCGTCCCATGGATGATAACTGTAATACAAGCAGAAAGATGTATCTACATATGGAGCTATAAATGTCAGCCTTGTACTATATATGTCAGGATTACAAGGTTGACTGTTTACAACCTAGTTATGTCCAGGAGATTATTAAAACACACATTAGTTGTGTTAGGTAATTGGAAACTGGTTAAAGTATTTGGGGGTGCTTGAAGTAATTGGAAGGTGCTTGAAGTAATTGGAAGGTGCTTGAAGTAATTGGAAGGTGCTTGAAGTAATTGGAAGGTGCTTGAAGTAATTTCGGGAGTGGATGAAGTAATTGAGAGGTGGTTGAAGTAATTGAGAGGTGGTTGAAGTAATTGAGAGGTGGTTTAATTGATTGGGAAAAGGTTGAAGTAATTGGGAACAGGTTGAAGTAATTTTGGGGTGTGGGGGTGTGGTTGAAGTATTTGGGAGGTGGATGGAGTAATTGGGAAGAGGTTGATGTAATTGGGGGAAATGGTTGAAGTAAATGGGGGGTTGTTGAATTAAATGGGAAGTGCTTGAAGTAATTGGGAAGAGGTTGAATTAATTGGGAGGTGCTTGAAGTAATTGGGGGATGGTTGAGAGGTAATTAGGAAGTGGTTGGAGTAACTGAGTTTTATAAAACACTGATATAACCCCATAAATCGCTCAGCAGTCATAGGATGGTTTAAGCAACATGATGCAGAACACCTGGTTGTTGACTGCCGATCAATATTTGAAGCTCATCCAGAACGTCCCTGGCTGTCACACTGGTGATATGTTGATAACAGGAGCATTAACTCACTCTTGCATTCACACACTTAGTGTGTTCACCCTGTATTCAAAGCCAGGTAGTGGAAGTACAGACACAAAGAACATGTTCACTGGGGACTGTACACATGTACAAATAGTCACATGGACTTGTCTTTGTGTGTATGTAGATACACATACAGAAACCACTTTGATATGTTTCACTGTGTTGTATGTGAGTCATGCTCTATTAAATATCTGCATAGAGAGAATGCAGAAAGGTCAGATTTCTTGGGATTTTTAACAAGTGACTTTTTACACGATGTCTCACATGTTTTTCTGTATTGAATTGTCTGACTTTTATTACTTGGAAGATCAAATCTAGTCAGTTTTTGAGTAGATAACCCTTTTAATGTAACCCCTTTATTCAGCCTCCTAACCTTCAAGGGGGACTCATGAGGATTTTACATTCCAGGGTCCGAAACCTATACTAGTAAGTAGTAGCTGACAAAACATCAGATGTTAGCAATAGGTGGCGTGGCTGATTGTGTGTCATTGTTACAGCTGATTAGAAGCCAAAGGTGAAACATGACACGCTGTGGGGTTGTGATTGGTTTTTATTCAGATTCAGAGTTGTTGACATGGAGAGTTGTTGAAATGTAGAAATGAATGGCCTTGAAACAACAGAATAGTAACGGCCATAAATTATATCAATTATACATAAATTTCACAAGTCCCTTAAATAAAAAAAGGAGTATAAGTACTATGGCTTTACAACACATGTAAAGTGTTATACAAATTTACCAATTAGTCAGGACATATGTTATCACGCCAAGGGAGATAATCTCCTGCCAAATACCATGTTTTGCCCACATACTCACAATTAAAACAATACTTACACATATACCTAACATACACATCATTCCACAAGTAAGATGACGTACATTTAAATAAATGTCGTAACCCTCAAAGATTACACAAAAAGTGTACATAAAGATAAAATATATTTAAACATGATAATAAGCCTTACCTATTTGTGGAATTGAGCCATGTAATTAAATGTGGTGACTCACCCTGGATGATCGTAGATTGCCTGTAGTTCACAAACACCATCATACAACATTGTGACAGTGCATTCACTTTCACTCATGGTCTCCATTCACACAATTCAAACAAAACCATTTGATATATATACACACAGCCAACTGACAAAAGCTGACATTTAATAACTATTTTTAACTCTAATCAGAACATTTATTGCAACTTTCTACACTTCTAAATGGACTTTAGCTTCGACTTAGTTGACCAACATTAGATACTTTAGATACTTAAATACATTTTTCAACATTATCATATTTAACAAGATACTAAATAACTTTAATTTCTAAGAAACAACATATTTAATGGACATATAAAAGAACTAATGAACCTAATCATAATTTAGTGTTTAAGTATTTAACTGACCTGTTTAATCCTGTTGCCACCTTGTTGTTGCCTCATGTGCTGTTCTGTGCTTGTGAGGTGGTTAGATTGCTGCAAAGAAGACAATCTTAGTTTTTGAAATTAGCCAATGAAAAGCTATACTTTAGATAGCTCTGACGTCGTAACCATTCAGATGAATGAAATTCATATAAACTAATAAACAAAACCAAATGTCAATCTAATTGACATTTGCTTAAAACCACAAACGTTAGAATACTGCCACCAACCATCAATATTTTTAACAACCTTTTTATGACTTAAACATTATTTTTATTCTTATTTTACCTTTAAACCATAAAATATAAAACACCATGTTACATCCAATAATTGTAAAATAGATATGTACAAAGAAACCAAATAAAGACATTAAAGTACCATCCAATTGACACTGCCACATACTCATGCTCTGACTGCTTGTTCATGATGTCAACCACTGGTTTGCCTGGCTCAATATTGATGTTGGCAGTAGCAGCTTTGGCTCACACACTCAATGCAAGTCTGGTGTTTATATATAATAATATCTAGTGCAAAATGAGCATTATCTTGAAGCAATCCTTAAGTCTCCAACAGTTAGTCACTGTGATTTTGTAAATGAACCAAAATGGGTATCCCATGTCCACAATGGCTGAATGTGTGAAACAGTTATCAATATTTGCCCAAATCCATTCCACACTCAACAAACATCCTTGTCTAAGACCCTCTATGCAAGACAATAGTAAAAACCTTAAAGGAAGGGTATTACATGATGAGTAGTGTAATGCTGGTGAATGTAATGAATTGTCTACAATGACACAAAAATGCTGATTAGCAAATATATTCTCATTGGAAGTGACAGTTTCTCATTTATTAAGACTACTTTTGCCTTTGGCAGTGTGACAGTGTGCTTGTGGAAGGTGATGGTAGTTTGAGCTGCAATGTGATGCTAACACCTGAACAGATAGATGAGGAGGCTGGTGTAGCTGCCAATAGGTTATGCCTCTGCTTCAATGCCACGTGATGTGACTAGCTTGCTGTACACTTCTATATTGAAATGATCTCCAGGTAACCAAACTGTCAACTCTGATGTCCAGGTACTCAGGGCATGCAGTCACCAACTTCCAGAATGTGATTTGTCAATGTCCCCTCAACAGAGATTGTCATATTCTGTTCTGTTTCATGACTTGACAAGCAACAGGACATTTACAGATGATCTCATCTGACTTGACATCTTATGTATTATGCTTTTACATACATTTTATTTTTCACTTCAATGGTCCATTACATTAACTTCTACTTTGAGGTTGTCTTTATTTATATTTTACGAAACGTTTTACTTCTACTTTTTCAGTTTCCTTTTCTTTGTCCATTTTATGTAATTATGGCCTAGCATACATGTTCTCAAAGAAACACAAACTCACTTTAGTCATTATTGTAATCAATATGTAAATATATTATGTTGTTTTGTGAGGTCAAGGTCTTTCACATGGCAGGGTCACCATGAACATCCATGAAATGTTTGCAGAGAGATTGAAATCAGGAAACTGTATTCAAGTCACTTTTGACCCAATTGTAAGGCATTCACAGTTATTCTTAGACTGTATTTTCTTCTGTGACAAAGGTGTTGAGAAAAAAGTAAAACTTCTCAGAATGTGAATTAGTACTTCCTAGAAACATTATATGGTAGTGATAAACATGAAACTGTTATATATATAAAAGTACAAATATGTTATCCTTTGGAAGTTCTGTAAAGACAAGACCATTATCTTGTTGGGTTGAATTTCTTGTATAATATGCCAAGATGTAGGTGAAAAATAAGAAAAATAAAACTGTTGTCATGGTTGATTTTATGTGATTCTCCTAGATTCAAATTTAGAATAGATACTACAACAAAAATACACATCAGATGTTAGAAACACAATGAAATAAATGTACTTTAAATGAATGACACCATTGTGTTTGATTCTGTACTATTCTGAGATATACGACAGACTTATTTGTAAAGCAAGGAAGCAATTTAATGCAGCCATTATTGTTTTTGTTATCAGAGATGAAGGAATTGAGGTGCTATGGGCACTGGACTGATTCAGGACTAAAGGTGATGGAAATAGTTTGTTTAGCCAGGACATTAACAAGCACTGTGCAGGGGAAGTTAATGCCTGGGTACAAGGGCATGTACATCTGCATGAACATACTGCACACCACATGGAGTTAGGAAGTTCAGGTTAAGCCACGGAACTGGCCAACAATCGCTGTCTGTTTACAGCGGGAATTTCTGAGTAGGCTTGCCACTATTTGACATTTGATGTGGTGTGGTGAGAGACATAATTACCATTTGCAAATGGTCGCAAGTAAACATAGACCAAGACCCTAAGTATTTGGCATTTACCTAAACTTGTAAGGGTATTATTTAAACATACAAGCCTTCTCCTGCCTCCCTGCTACTAAGAATATTTGGGGATTTCTGAGTTTGTCAGAAATTGTCATCAGCTATGTTGAAGCATACTCATCTGTTATTAGGCGTGAATCAGTGTCCTGTTCTTCAACAAAGACTGTTGGAACAGACCTTGGGTGTAAACATGCTTCACTGCACATGTGTTGGATTTGTGACCTAGTGATTGGAGTGTGGGGTATAATTAAGTTTGATTTTCTTTTGATGTCACCTTTCTGAAATAATAGGTGATTGTGAATCTGTCGTACTACACAGTGAAATTCATGCTTCTCTTGGCCGTCAGCAAGTCAAAAGTATATGTTTTGATGTGACATCCATCTGTTTCTGAGATATTTTCAGAGGTTGTAAAGTCTGTAAAGTTGCCAAAGCCATCATTCAGTGTGGCACATGTGTCAAAAGAACTGTTTTAAGTTTATGTGGCAGATTGACTAAGGAAGCTGTGACCCATTTTGGCAGGAAGGAATAAATACTGGTATCATTGGCTATGTTGTCATGTCAACTCTGCTGGCGCTGCTCACTCACTAAAGGGGGTGAGGGTTGGCACAGGGTCATGGGAGGGGAAACTGCAGGGACAACCTTCAGGGTTGACCATTCTCCTGCTATTGCTATTATTGACTCTTTGGCAAAACAGGCTGCACCTCCCCTCATGCTCTCCTAACTCCCTGACCCGAATGGATGTTTTGCTCTGCGTGTTCAGCTGCATCTAACAGGATGTACAGTTTCCCCTTTAAGCTGGTACAGATGTAGATGATGGGATGATGTCTACTCAGTATTTCAATATACTCATATGTCTTCTTTGAAAAAGTTCAGTAATGCATTCTCTACAAGGCTGGATGAAACAGGAGCCTACCATTCGAATTTTACAGATTATTTCTATGAAGTAAGACTAATGGTCAATTTTTTTATTTTTTTTATTAATTTGAGAAGCCTTTATAATAATGTCGGTCTAGACAAATATAGGAAGAATAAAATCCAAGATTCCTATAATGAGGTCTCTTCCCTTACTGCTCCTATTGACCAGCCTGCCATGTTTATTTATTTGTGAAATTAGACAAGAGGGTAAGAAAACATTCTTCTCATAAGCAACTAAACCAGTCATTTTGGGGATAAAGTTTGATTTCAACAAAATGTTTAATGAGTAATTCCTGAAATGTGTTGTCTGCTGATGTTTGTCCACTATTGATTACCTGGCCTCAACTCAGGACAGGGTGGTGTGACATGGCACCCGGATGACTTGGAGGGGTAGTGCCCTGATGTACACCTGTCTGGAGCACTGTGAAGGAGTGGGCCAGTTTGGCATCAACAAAGCAGCCCTCAGCTGTGTCTGGATCCACTGGCTGTAGTTTCAAATCCTTTCTTCTCTGATAATGTTCCTTGGTTTGAGCATCATTACCCCTGCTCAAGAACTGAACTCTAGTGGCAACTACCTACCTGCAACCCGTGCTGCTCTTGGCTTCCATCTGAAGCTTACATGCTATGATATAACTAAAACATTGCTGTGCTTCGCAGTGTCATTACACTCACACACTCATTCCACCTCAGCAACATAGGTCATTCAGTTGTGAAATCCTACAGGGGATCAAGCCAGGATATGAGGTTATCTTTACCAGGAAGCAGACTGTCAGACCAATTTGACATTGAAACTTAGACTTGTAACATCACTCAAACATAATCTGCTTTCTTGTCCTCTGGTTGACATCGGCCTAATCAGCCTACCGGTAATCATCTACACCATCAGCCATGTATCATCTGGAGGATACAATCTGCTACCTTTTGTTGCCATACTGCTGACAGTTGCTATAGATACAGGAAGTTTGTCACAGATACTGGGGCCAAGTTGCCACATTTGCTTATGAAACTATGCAGTGTTCACCTATAAGTAGATGCTCATGCTAGCAGATTTAGCGACTACAAGCTGGAGGTGCTGTGACTAGTCTGCCTTCATGGGTAATGGGTAACTCGCTACATCCAAAACATCTGTTTATGGTTTCAACAAGCTAACAGGAACTTCAAACATGTAGAATGATTTATTTGTGGTTCAACATTCAGAGGAGTTCCCTTTGCATAAGGGATGCTATGTTTGAAAGGAAATGCACGAACTCACTCGTTATTTTTGTATTTCTGCAGTGGAGGCTTGAGTGTGACTGTTTCTGTGTTCTGCAAACGTTACATTGTGACTGATATGGTTTCTAGGATCTGGTGTGAAGCTGTGTAGAATGTTACTTCTGAAGGAGAAAGTAACGTGTCAACTGTTGAGTTGAACTCAGTACACGCATGTCAAATTATTGTTAATGTCTGGTGAGTCATTGAATGCTTCACTTTAAACACATCAACTCATTAATGCATAATATAAACAATATACCACTGACATGTGGTAAATGTTATTTTATTAGCAAATACTGGTCAAAATTCCGCAAATGTGCTTTCTAAGAAACAAGCCGTGTTTAACCCGTGATTAAAGTGTTTGCTCACCATGCCACAGATTCTCTTCGTCCACTATGATGTTGTAGCCATGGTGTTCCCAGTGTAGATACAATGTGTGAAGCCTACTGACAACGTCCACTATGATATTGTAGCCATGGTGTTCCCAGTGTAGATACAATGTGTGAAGCCTACTGACAACGTCCACTATGATACTGTAGCCATGGTGTTCCCAGTGTAGATACAATGTGTGAAGCCTACTGACAACGTCCACTATGATACTGTAGCCATGGTGTTCCCAGTGTAGATACAATGTGTGAAGCCTACTGACAACGTCCACTATGATGTTGTAGCCATGGTGTTCCCAGTGTAGATACAATGTGTGAAGCCTACTGACAACGTCCACTATGATACTGTAGCCATGGTGTTCCCAGTGTAGATACAATGTGTGAAGCCTTATGACAACGTCCACTATGATGTTGTAGCCATGGTGTTCCCAGTGTAGATACAATGTGTGAAGCCTACTGACAACGTCCACTATGATACTGTAGCCAAGGTGTTCCCAGTGTAGATACAATGTGTGAAGCCTACTGACAACGTCCACTATGATGTTGTAGCCAAGGTGTTCAAAGTGTAGATACAATGTGTGAAGCCTACTGACAACGTCCACTATGATGTTGTAGCCAAGGTGTTCAAAGTGTAGATACAATGTGTGAAGCCTACTGACAACGTCCACTATGATATTGTAGCCATGGTGTTCCCAGTGTAGATACAATGTGTGAAGCCTACTGACAACGTCCACTATGATACTGTAGCCATGGTGTTCAAAGTGTAGATACAATGTGTGAAGCCTACTGGCAACGTCCACTATGATATTGTAGCCATGGTGGTCCCAGAGTTGGGCTGATGAGGGATCTCCTGAATGAAAGGTTGCAGACATTTTTCTTGATTTTTAGATAAAATAAAGAATTTGCCAGATAATGAATTGTGGATACAAAACAAACTTCTATCACCTTTGGTAGCATGACATACAAAAGTGACCTTAAAACATTTATTATTTTCTAGAATGAAAATCTCAGGCCACCCTGAATAAAGAACAAGGACCTTCTCTAATCTACACAGGTGTGTGGTATAGAAAACTAAAATTTCTCAGTTTGAGAAACATAAGTAACAGAAAACAGCTTAATAAATATCCTGTTTGCTCATCATGACAAATTAGACAAACATACCATTGTATATAGATAAAGTTGTAGGAGGTACAAGTATGTATGTCATCCTCCTCCTCCTCCTCCTCCTCATCTCTGCAGATATTAGTCGCTATATGGCTGAAGTAATCCTGAGGCGATGTTAAACTTTAACTCACTCACTCTGCAGACATTAGAAAGCTAGCTTCTCCTTGTGAGCATGTATGCGTTAATACACTATCTAACAGTGAGTAACAATGGCTAAATAGGAATGTGCAGGAGAACATTCTGTCATCATGGTTTAAGGTTCATGTGAAATGTAATAATGTTAATTACTGTTGTTATTGTCTTCCCTACCAACACAAGTATAGCATAACATTCATCCTTAGGACAGGAACATTCTCATAACAACTTTTGTTCTCAAGGGGTCATCTCGATTGTCATCGCTGACCTTTGTTGGGACTGCCGTTTGACCTTGTCCCAGAGGTCGGAGATGTGTGACAGCAAGGATAGCTTATGAAATATCGTGTGTAGACAATAAAACAGCAGGGTGGGCCGGTGGCAGTATAGTTTATGGTTCATGTGACGGAAGGCAGATAAGTATGTAAGTAAGCTTGGTGATACAAGTATGGAGAGGGCTGGTAGAAGTTCAATGTCAGATATACTGATGGACATAAACAAGGGAACACTGAGAGTGAAACATGTTGTGTTTACTGCAATCTGTTTTTTCATCAGAGTACAAAATCTTTTTATAGCCAACACATGCATCCCTCTGCAGGTGATCCCTCGTATCCTTCCATCAGCATTGAGTGAATTTAGCAAAAACTCTTATGGGGGGTTGTGATTGTGTAAAGATGTCTGTGTTGTTTTAAGAAGATTATTGGATTTTGAAGAAATAAATCTTTGAAAGTAACATCATAGGCTGATGAAAAGAGTGATCTTTGTGGTGTTGACAGGCATGAATTGGTCACGTCCTCCAGGTACCCAGAACAGCAAAATGTTGGTACTTTGATGAGGATGACAATGACATAAATTCATCTTAAAAATACCAGTGAGTTTTGCTGCAAGTCACATATCAATACAGGAAAAAACAGTCAGTGTCTCAAGCCAGTACCTGTCCATGTAAATATTGACTGTGATGGCTTTGAACCATTTATGAATGATAGCCCCAGTTGGCTATCATCCAAAAGATTTGTGACGTCAAAGGTGGCCAGATATCTATCTCCAGATTTAGCCCGTCCCCTTGATGTTTGAGAATATGCAGTGACAGTTGTCGTTATCTCAGACTTCTATCAATCTAGCTGTATCTCATCGTATCTTCTAGCTGTATCTCATCGTATCTTCTAGCTGTATCTCATCGTATCTTCTAGCTGATATGTAGAGGTTGTGTATAAGGTGCTCTGTCACTTTCCTGTTCTAACAGTCATGATTGTGATAATTGTGATAACAGTTGATGCATTTGTTCTGTTACTGTGATATCCTTCAGATTAACAGTGGGAATATTATACCTGGCAGGTTTCCAATGTTACATGGAATTTCCTTTTTGCTTTTTGCGACATTATGTTTTTGTTTAACATGGGACTATTTTGTAAAAGCAGATGTCACTTCTGATTATGATTTTCCTCATCAAGTGGCCGTGCTTGTTTTGTGTTAGTTACTTCACACTTACATTAACAAGCAGACTATCACTGTTTGGCTTGCTGATTGCCAGCCATACTGTGACTTGGTGCCACTACCTGCCACCTCAACACCAGGGCAGGCCAACTTGTGTAGGACTTGGCAGATTATACTGGAGGGGCATGTACTTGGAGAACACCAAACACCAAAGACTTTATTAGCCAAAGGGAAATTCATTTTGCAATTCATCAGCACTAAAATATGAAAAAAAGAAAATAAATATGTACATCCACTTACTTAAATACCCACAACCTCCGACGTTCATACAGTTTGGCCCTCACTCTGAAGGTTCATACGCCAATGACTCACACAAAGTGAAAGTCAATTCTTAAATATACTTTATCTATATCACTGCAATAGTAAACTTTAATAAAAGGGATAATGGCAGGATAAGATTTGTGTACAGCGAACTGTTAAAAAGTTTAAAACAGATAATTGTTTAATCCCATAAGTTTATCAAAGTTGAAACATAAATGCATAACTACTCTAAATAAGTACAATTTCAGATCTCTTACTCACAGCACAGCAAGTAGTAATGTAGTATGGTAAATAAGATTTGGAGGTACTGAGTGTATACAAAGATCAATGTTGTGTGGACAAGTAAGGGTAAGTCAGACACAAATTTGAATTTTGTGTTACATGGACTCAGTGCATGCATTAATAAATATTAGGTTGCATTTTACAATTATAGGTTGCACTGGTGCATGTTTTAATAGCTAATAGAGCCCTGCCCACACGTAGCTGACCTGCCATGAATTAACTGAACCACTGTCAAAGTGGCATCACACCATCCTCAAACTGAATCGTTTGCCTGCCAAACCAGGGGGTGCTTCCCCACATGTATTCAGCGATACTCCTGGAATGTTGCTGCACAGAGAGAAACCCCAGCTCACTGCTAGTTGAACAAACTCTACCCACCAGGATTCACTGACAAACGTTTCAATTACTTTACCCTCAAGTTGCTACAGAACCAATTTTGTGTTTAGTGGAAAGCAGATTTATTTTGTTATTTATTGTGAATGAAGTTATAAAAGAGGATGTCCATATATATTTGTTTTGTGATTTCTATGTTGTTTTGAAGAAACCTTGTGCCTCTTTGAACAGTAAGGGCTTGTTGGAGCAGTGTTTTACAACAGAAACATACTTCATGGATGTGGATTACTGTGGGAGGAGAACAGCTTTATGTCTTATCCCATTAGTATAGGCTGAGTGAATCAAGTTCCCTTGTATAAAGCAAGAATATGTCAGCTGGTGTTTCTCATTGTATCAGAGTGAAGACGGTACGTGTCTACACATAACAATGACAGAGAAGGTGTTGAATTAATACCTACTTCATGCAACAGGAACAATATCATTGTCTCACACAAATGCACTGTAATTTAATTAGATATTTCCTTAGTTCTGCATTTCAAATGGGATCTGTAGGTGAATAATAATTTTGTTTTGTTTCCGATCCTGTCACATGATGAGAGATCATTCATTCAATGGTTTTAAAAAAGATGTACTTTCCACACGGGTAGATACTATGCAAGTGGTAGAAAGTTCAATTTGACTCCCCCGTGATTATAACTATCACTGACATCATGTGGATGTCAGTCAAGCAGTGTTGATTCAGAGCGCCGGATATGTAGCTTGTGTTGTGGTACAGAACAGTCTAGGAGCGGTAATTCCTTGAGAATTGTAATTCCCTGCAAGCACATTATATTGCTGCATCACTGAGGGAACATTATTGGTACATGCTGTTGTTGTCACAGTGTGCTGCATTAGTAGTCATACGACAATTTCCAACAAGGAAATCTGCCATCTGTCCATCTGCTCCCCTGATGTCATCGTTGTATTTCAGTGTTTTATTTATTAACATAATTTATGGTCTGAAAAGAGTGTGTAGTTCATAAATCAGTTGTAACATCATAAATGTTAAAACAATATGTCTAATTTGATAATTTATGATTTAGCTAAGTGTTAATGTCATTATCCACATAGTCTGGCTAACACACCATCAGGCAAGTCACACTTTGTAACAACCCACCACAAGGTACAGGACCGATACTGTACCCTTGAATCACCACATACACACCATCAGTCATGTCACACTTTGTAACAACCCACCACAAGGTACAGGACCGATACTGTAGCCTTGAATCACCACATACACACCATCAGGCAAGTCACACTTTGTAACAACCCACCACAAGGTACAGGACCGATACTGTAGCCTTGAATCACCACATACACACCATCAGGCAAGTCACACTTTGTAACAACCCACCACAAGGTACAGGACCGATACTGTACCCTTGAATCACCACATACACACCATCAGGCAAGTCACACTTTGTAACAACCCACCACAAGGTACAGGACCGATACTGTACCCTTGAATCACCACATACACACCATCAGGCAAGTCACACTTTGTAACAACCCACCACAAGGTACAGGACCGATACTGTACCCTTGAATCACCACATACACACCATCAGTCATGTCACACTTTGTAACAACCCACCACAAGGGTACAGGGCCGATACTGTACCCTTGAATCACCAAACAATGTTTGATATCCAGACAGATTTTGTTCCCCTCACTCACTCTGCCTCAATGATTTGCCTCAGGTTGACTTTCATTCACCCTTCATTCATCATGTTCAAGTGCTAAAATACTATGTCCTAATCTCTAACCCAAATTTGTTACAACAATGTCTCTGTTAGACCTAATAAGTGGCTGATAAGCTGCAACAGGCACTGATGACAATATGTGAAACATCCTGACAATACAGACCTCTGGCAGGGAGTCTGGGGCAGACCACCTCCCACATTAGATTAGGAGGAGATATGTCAGTGTGTCCCAAGTCTACAACAGCAGCTCCTTACATTGCTTGTATTGGATATTAACGTGTGAAACACGATATACATAAAACATTCACAGTGTATACTTGGAGTGGTATATGTTCACCATAATATATAATTGCAGCTTTCATCCCACAGTTGAATAATGAAAATGTCTGACTAAATCTTTACTATTTGATAATGTGAACTAGAAGAACATGGGAAGGTTTTTACAGAGAACACACACAGGTTTACAATACTGAAAGTTAATTCCATTTTTGACTTGGAACAGCTTTTTGCTAAAAAATTATGGCCTCATTGGGATGTCTCATACAGTGTTAGGTTAGTGTTTCATCAAACAAATATAGGGACATGCATTGATTGTGACATGCATTTAATGTGTAAACCCAATTTGGTAATGTCATATGTATCACCAATGTGGAATAAAACAATCCCCCATTAAGACCTCCATCCCACTCACTCGCACAACTACTCACTCACGGACTGGAAGAAAGAGATTCTTTTGGAGTCACTGACTTCTTATAGGCCACCTCAAGGAACAATGCAACTGCACAAGACCTGCAATAAAGATGCACTTATGACCCCTGTTGATTGCAGAAGAACTTCACAGTTTTGTGGATTTCAATCAGGGCTAGGTTTTCCATGGAGGTTACCATTGTTGCAAGGGAAGAGAGGTGACTTTTTACTATTGTATCTTGTGAGACAGGTCACCGTCCCCCACACCTAGACTTGCTGCAGAATAGGGAAACATTTATAAGTGAGCCAAGCTGGTGTTGTCCTGACTTTGATGAAGAATAAACAAATATTGAACATTAATAGGAAATTGTTTTTTCTGCCTCGTCTACAAATTAGAAATCCCCTGTTATAAGAATTATGTTACCTGTTTTGCTTTTCTTTTTCTTGGATTGTGTTATTTTGTTTTGAAAGTGATGGACGAATATATTGCATTCTTGGCACATATTTATATGATGTTTTATTAACATGGTAACCTGACTACTAATAGCTGAAATACTGCTGACTTGCCTTTATATTTGACTCACTCATTTACTCCCACTATACACTATTATGCAATGCCAAGTATTGTTCAAAGTTCAAGCATCATGACAGGTCAAATACTAAGGAAGTAATTCTTTCCTTACTGTAAAGTAGATGTTTTGCTATAGATCCTTTTATCTGGGTCAAGCAAGGCTGAATAATGAGCATGGTACGTTATACAGAATATATATAGTAGGTGGAGGAATATATTTAATTAATGGAAAATAATAGAAAGCTGAGATGACACTGAAAGGATTTCTGTGCTGAGATGGAAATTTTCATATGAACATGATCAAAAGTGAAATTAAGGAAGAAAGGCCTGATAAAACATTCCAGCTGGCTTATAGACTGACTGGATGGTGCTCCATCTTATAGCCTCTACCTCCCATTAGTTAGACAACCATAGTTCGATAGTTTAAAACAACACAATTTACGGTTGAGTGAACAGCAACTAAACCGACTGTCACCTCAGGATGATAATGGGCTATTCCAGTTAATATGTGAAAAGGAGCCTCTGCAAGCCTAGTAGCCTCAGACAGGTATCCCAAGTCAGTCAAGCGTTCAGTCTTAACATTCAGGTTTTGCACACAGTTGGGGAGCATTTTGTTGGCAATACCTTGCATCCTCTCTCACTGGAAACTGGGCAAAACACAGGGACTATGTCAGTGAAAAGTTGGATATTTCATGGACATTTGCTCTAGGATATACTGTGAAGTCAACTGTAAGAAGGTGAGGGCTAGGAACATTTGTAACAACTACTTTGAATGGGTGGGCTGACAGTTTGTTCACATGTTGTGGGTGTGACCCAGTATTTGAATGGTCGCCTGTCAGAAGTTATATTTAACTTGCTTTTCTCTGTTATTTGAGACACAGATAGCTTTGATCTGGATTTGACTTGCATGTTGCCAATGTGAATTGTTGCAGCCCAGGTTGCAACTGTAAGTTTTATATTTGAAATGCTACTGCAACAGGTGTTTCCCTGAAGCAATTACAATCCCAGATGTTTGACAGATGAACAGGTCACAGTTTCAGCAGTAGTTGATTAATCTCAAACTCACCTGCTTCTCTCTGTGTGTTCACGTTCACCATGATGTTTTCTTGACCAGGAAATATGGAGGTGTTTGGAGAGTAGTTGCTGACAACCCATGTGGAATCATAATGGCTCCTTGCTGTTCACAGTGGATTTAAACAGACAGTAGATATGCACAGAGACATCACTTCGAACCTTGGATTTGTTAATTCAGACATTTTGTAATCTGTTAGTTTCCTCAGTGAAGTTAATTTATGATTTTTCACTGTATATCCATAAAATATATGCCAAGTAATAAAAGCTGAAGAATAAATAATCCTACTAACATTTTTAAATGTTTCAAAATGCATTAAAGTTTTCATAAATAGTTAACTTCACTTTTTGTCAAATCCAAATCTAACCAATTTTACTTATGCACCTTTTTGTATCATTATTAATAGGCCTTTCTATGCAGACACTTTTACTACATTGTCGGTTAATGTCCAATTTCAGTTTCATTGAACTGTAGGGGGCAGTGAGATCTACATAGGAGCTTAACATTGCAGGTGTGATATTGAGATATTCATGGCCCACTTTCTGTGTTGTAACCTGGGGCATGATGGGAGGTAGTTTACACCTTGCTGGTGACCCTGTACCAACAGGACACCAGCAGCCCCTACTGCTGCACATACAACATGTACAACTACTTTAATTACACTACTAACACAGTTTCCAGTATGACATATGGGTTATAACCACTTTATTTAATCTACTTACAGTTTCCAGTATGACATATGGGTTATCACTACTTTATTTACTCTACTTACAGTTTCCTGTATGACATATGGGTTATCACTACTTTATTTACTCCACGCACACAGTTTCCAGTATGACATATGGGTTATCACTACTTTATTTACTCCACGCACACAGTTTCCAGTATGACATATGGGTTATCACTACTTTATTTACTCCACGCACACAGTTTCCAGTATGACATATGGGTTATCACTACTTTATTTACTCTACTTACACAGTTTCCAGTATGACATATGGGTTATCACTACTTTATTTACTCTACTTACACAGTTTCCAGTATGACATATGGGTTATCACTACTTTATTTACTCCACGCACACAGTTTCCAGTATGACATATGGGTTATCACTACTTTATTTACACTACTTACACAGTTTCCAGTATGACATATGGGTTATAACCACTTTATTTAATCTACTTACAGTTTCCAGTATGACATATGGGTTATCACTACTTTATTTACTCTACTTACAGTTTCCTGTATGACATATGGGTTATCACTACTTTATTTACTCTACTTACAGTTTCCAGTATGACATATTGGTTATCACTACTTTATTTACTCCACGCACACAGTTTCCAGTATGACATATGGGTTATCACTACTTTATTTACTCCACGCACACAGTTTCCAGTATGACATATGGGTTATCACTACTTTATTTACTCCACGCACACAGTTTCCAGTATGACATATGGGTTATCACTACTTTATTTACTCTACTTACAGTTTCCTGTATGACATATGGGTTATCACTACTTTATTTAATCTACTTACAGTTTCCAGTATGACATATGTGCTATCACTACTTTATTTACTCTACTTACAGTTTCCAGTATGACATATGGGTTATCACTACTTTATTTACTCCACGCACACAGTTTCCAGTATGACATATGGGTTATCACTACTTTATTTACTCTACTTACAGTTTCCAGTATGACATATGGGTTATCACTACTTTATTTACTCTACTTACACAGTTTCCAGTATATCATATGGGTTATCATGTTTGCATTATTGTAAATATGATACTTGTGATTATTGACATGCAACATTTAAAATATTCTGTTGTATTATGGAATACATTATTCACAATATCATGGTAAGCGGATGTGAATACATGTTACAGTAAACAGTGCGTAAACAAGTGCATGGTAATGTTAATTAGATATGGTAAACACGTCGCATCTCACATAGATAACTTAAAGGGAATATCATTTAAGTGCTGCTGATTGAACAACTTTTATAGTTATTTACAATATGCTTGTGTTCATTTGTGTTAGTTATGATTACTTTGACAGCATCAGCACTAATTGGTGACTGATGAAAAAACATGGCCATTTGTTTATGAAGGAAATAACCGTAAGCTGAATTAGGTCAAAACTTACTTGATATTTTGAGGAAATCGTACTTGATCATGTAGATGGGCAAAAACACAATGATAATCTCTATAAACTTCAAAGTGTGATTTTCATAATTGCTTCTGTATTGCTGTCAGCACTTGATTTACACTTCTTCATTCTCTGATAAATAAACATTTCATAAATACAGTCAATGATATTAAGTCCAAACTGACATGCATCCACTTTGGTTCCTGGATGGGTAGACGTTGCATCACCTTCTTGATGTTTAGATGAAGATTCATCATGTCATCTATTTGGACTATCTGTCTCTAGGTAATGGCCTGCAAGAATGTCCTTATGTCTGCTTAATAGATGCTTGAACAAGGTGTGGGGAATAAATGCCACTTTAAACATTTGTTTTCTGATATATAGGAAATGCAAAAAGATAAATATATAAAACTATTGGGAAGAGAAGTAAATGTGAGTCTCTAAAACTATAGGGGACATTTGTTGTTTCCTTGTCTCTCTGTGGAGATGATTCAATGGGTGACGGTTAAAATCTCATATATTTCTTTCATGAAGAATTCACAGTTTTTATTAGGCTGTTATCTTTTTGTGCTTTTTGAAAGTAACTTAAAAACAGTGTAAATAAATCCCAAGTACATACAGTATGTAGTAGAGATGTACAGTTTGTTGTTAATTATGATATATTAGAAACATGGCATTGATGGGTGCAACCAGTGAAATGTGCTGCAGCTCACAGTATCAGGGTATGCTATGTAGAGGCAGTTATTAAGAAAGCAAACATTCTGCCATATTTGTTGATGATACACTGACAGCAGCTGGATAGTTAATAGTTCATCCATGTAGGTCACTTCGTAGTCTCTACACTTGTTGTGCCCATCTGCTGAATCACCATTCCAAGATCTGATGTGATCCCTCAATTCCAGTTGGCCCTGATAATGTTCTTGTTACCAGCACCTGCTTCACATGAAGGTCTCAGCCATGATTTAACTGGTATTCTGTTCAAAGGGGTGTTAGACTCGACCACACACTCACAAGATGTTTTCATTTTGCAGGTGTCTGTGCAAAATTTGAAATGGTTACCAAATTTAAGCACCTAGACATTTACCATATGAGTAGGCTGCAGACAAGACAAAGATTGTATTTATCAAGGCAGAGATGGGATTCTAACCCATGACTCTGCCAGATAAAGGACAAAACTTTGTTTATCGAGTGGTGACACTTTTGACCACTTCCCCCATCTACAATGGGAAACTATTCAAATCTTTCCATTTCATTTTGTAAAATTTTGTAAAAGTATTTCACATTCATATCATGACATAGGGACAGAATCTGAAATGGAGCGGCCTTTATGATACTGTTAGAGTGATGTGTATGAACACACCCTGCCTCAATCTCCTTCCTTCCCATCCATCAGATACACTGCACTCAGTGGACAGAACTAACTGTCCTACTGCAGCTCACAAGTACATCATACACCTTAATGTTTCAATAACTGTGATGGCAGTGGTTTAGCAACACATCACATCTCTGTCCCTGGGTATTCACAGATCAATGTTGCTATTTCATCAGGATGAAAGGATGTTCTCTGAAGTTGGTTGTCGATCGCACCTAATGATTCTCCTACTGTGATATCGATGCCAAGATATGTGTTAATGTGTCTCCTGCATGAAAATGCAGCCAGAATTTATATTGCCTGTGCAGGTTTGGGGGTGGTAATGGATAAGGTATGTTCTGTCTATTTAAATCAACAGTGCAACTGATGTGCAGAACATTTGGTTCAATTCCAGTTGCAATAAATTGCATTAAATGAAGCCAGAAAAGTTATGTTGTTGGATTGCGAGATGATCGTCTTGTTCAGTTGTCTATGTAGATTTATGAATATTGCATGTGTGATATTGAGACAATGAATTAATGAAATTGATTGACTGAGATTGAATTGTTGAAATTCTCATGGTTGCTTATGCAAGAGAGTTGATTTTTGTGATCAGTTTTTCATTTATAAAGAGCATCACATGAAGGATCATATTTTCACTATAAGATTGTTGTATTAAAGGTAGCCTTGATATGTTTGAGTGTAACATCTGAAGGATCTCAATGCCTATTACTTTGAGGAAATATCAGTTGTTGACTGATCTTAGGGGAAATGAAGTGATATAATTATTCTCCATTCTAAAATGTCTTCATAAGTATGGATTGCAAGATCTTGACAGCTCACAGACTACGTAACATATCAAGAGTTATTGCCCCTGCATTACAATTGGATATGCCTGGTTAAGTTCAATAAACTACATTTAATAGGTGTTCAATTTCAAGATAATATTATCATATCATAGCATTTGCATTTGCATTGGCAATTATATAAGCTTCAGCATTACCCAGCGAGGTATGTGAAATTTGTGGAAGAAATTGCCTTTATGCAGTAAACATGGAAAGCAATCAGAAACAATTTTCTTAATGCAAGGTATGGTGAAGTTTGTATTTATTAGACCTAAAAAATTAAATGTGGTTCTGATTGTGTGTATTTAAA